CTCACAGCAATGCTTACTAGCTGATGGGGAATCTTTATGACAAGTCAGAACATGTTAGAAAACAAGACAGGGCAAAGATCAAGCTTTTCTTTCCACTGATGATTATACATAAAAGCTCGTAATGCACTAATTTGCAGAAATGGACTCACTCACTGCATCTATATAGCTATTATAACCCAGCTTCAACTATTATCCCCACAAAGACTTTAGAGACAATTTGCTGGCTTGCTGGTAAGCAATCAGCTCTGCCAATATGCCTTATAATTGGAGAAAGCTTGGAAAAAAATGAAGGTACTATCACAAGACCCCGCCACGCCTGTTCATATCACATGCCAGTGGCCTGTGTGCAAACGCTATCTAAGCCTGACCTCAAACTAACACAGTAAACTTGCAGGCCCTAGTTAATTCTGTAAGAGGGATGGCAAGAACATATTACTGTATCAGGAAGCAATTCTTGCATCCATTTCAATTCTGCTTTTGACCTCAAATTACTCGTACAAATTTGCATATGCTAGTCTCACAGAAACGTTCCAGTTGCAATTCTGGTCTTCTTGAAACTGAGTAATTACTCCCTTTTCCTTCTCCACAAATACAGTTGAACCATTGCTAGTTAAAATTCTTTGGGCAAGAATTATTCATCAAAAAAATGAAACAGAAAGAACAAACTTCACATTGCTAGAGTGCCATCCAAATCAGTATGCTGCTCAGCTGTGTTCTGTTCAGGGTTTTACAGGGCTTTGTACACTAGCAGCCATTGGGGGTTCTGAATACACAACTGAGAGGATTTTCCCCATCCTCAAATTCAGTTATACATCTGAAAAGGTGTTACTAATGGTGTCTTTTTAAGTTTGTTTACACTCTGTGATGACATTGCTAATGAAATAGCAACTGACAATGCAGTGTACTGACAGCTTCTCTATGCACTATAGATCATCAGGAATGTATACAGCAGTGGTGGTGTGTCAAGGCTACACGCTGATGAAGAGATAAACCAAGGTGAATACTTACTGCATATCTATTCTTAAAACAGATCTCCGTTCAGAATGACACTTAACACAAATTTAACGTTAAAGACCACACAGAAAACGCTTTCTAGAAACAGGATCACAAAAACTTCAAGAATTCAGCTGTGATGTAGATTTTAAATCGTATACTCCTTATTCTAATTCACACCTGTGCATTTAACAGGAAGAGTGCTGACAGAAGCAACTCAAACCACCAAGTTACCCTCTTAGCACAGATTTAGGAAAAGTCCTGTTCTTAAGTAAGTAGGGTCCACACAGACCAAATTACTCATGTGCTCATCCGCCTTTAAAACAACAAAGGTGACAAAGTCAAAAAACCAAACGAAACCCAACAATGACAAAGAAAGACAGACCGTAAGATCATTTTTCCTCTTGTAAACTCCATATTATATTTGACCTTAACGAAGTAGCTCTTACATTTGACGTGAAAGTCAGGTTGTCACGTCACAGTCGTACACCCTGCAGTGCATTACAATCCCTCTCCCTGACACAAGAACTGGGTATTAAAACAATTCGGTGATTAAAAAACCCCAACTTTTCAGATTTACAGTTGCTGTAGTTCTTTTAACCACTATCCCAGTACGCTCATACATACAGAATACAGAACTTTGGTGAAAAAAAGCTCCACAATACTTGTGCATGGTTTTTTTTTTTAACAACTGCAGTATTCTGTCACCTTTGTATGTATGATGGATCCATCACAAATTCCTGGTTCCTCACTGTATGCAACTGTCTCTGCACAGATTCATTCCTGTCTGAGTCCTCACCATGCACTTGTTGGAAGCTACCGCTGAAAACAACCTCTGAGAACTACACATAAGCAGCCAAATAAAGAGCTATGACTTACTATGCTATACAAACTTTATAATACTAGCAACACTTCTCCTACTACTGGCTTCTGGTGTCTGTAATACGAATGCAATGTATTTATGAGTTTCAACAGGTGATATTTACTTGATTCTTTTTGCATGACTATCCCTTTTTTATAATTTTTATACTATAGAAGTCAGTTAAATGCGTGGTAACGTATGATTTTGTTCTTCAATGGCAGAACAATGCTATAGCCTAAACTAGTTTGAATTATCTCATGTTTGCCATGGACTGAAAGTGGTAATATGCAAAGATCCATTTACATATCAAAGCATTTCCAAAGAGTTTGGCAAACAATCATCCATTAGCTAACAAAGTTTCACAGCACAGTTCTGTAATTAAGCCAGAAGGAGCTGTTCTGGGTAAGATTTTCTGGGTGTACCTTCATCAATATCTGGTGGCAGTCCGCCGACAAAGACTTTACGGGAATATCGTTCCACTCTTTCTCCATTCTGATGGGAGAAGCAGTGAGGTGATCCTAAACCACTGTGAAGAGTCTGATCCCCACGTCCATCATCCAAGAACCCGTCTTCCATTGGAAACAGTGAAGACTGACCTGAAGAGTGGGTTAAAAAAAAAAGAAGGAAAAAAACATACTAACAGAACAAAGCACACACTGCTTATCTATTTTTTTAAAAAATGCATTAGTTGCAGCATTAGCAGAACTGTTTGCAATCTTCCCTTTTACTGAGCAGTTACGTTCTCAATTTCGTATGACCCTTACAGTTTTCAATATCATTCAGTAACTCCAATGCATTATTTCAGAGAAAAGCTTGTTACCTTCTTCATAACTGCACTACAATTCATGAAGACTTAAAACAGTACTTCTCATCGAAGCTCAAGTTGATGATTTGCCGTGATATTTCGTGTTTCCAATTAGATTTCTTTTTAAAAGGTGTAAAAACAGAAGGGAATATAAGCCAATTTTTTTTCTAGGACTTTCCCAATAGCAGACATAACTAAAACCTAAGCTGTATATATCATTTTCCAGGGAACAGTTTCTTACGATGAGTAGATACCATTTCATGGTGCAGATGGGAAAACAAGAATTCTACCAGCTAAATATATTACACATTTAAATTACCTGATATCAAAACGTATCATAAACCACCCACTCATAAATCACAAAAATAACCTGATAAAAACAGGAAGACCCACTGTAATTTACTGCAAATGAAGACTAAAAACTAGGCAATACTGCATCATTCCTAGGAGCAAGTTAACTTATACGTTACAACGGAGTTCTGCTAATGGACTCTCTCTAAGAGAAAATGTTGTGAACATGCTTCCTCTCACAGCCCAATATTCTTCTATGATAATCCTTTATCATAGATTTCCTTAAAAATATTTATTACTTTTAAATAAGATTCTTTGATTTATAAATGCAACTGTGTAATACCATAGAGCACACAAGCTGATCTCTTCCATGAATTCACCTTTTATTTACAGTGTTCAGTATCTTAACAACAAACTGAATAGAATTCTACTCAGGAGCAATTTAAGGAGCATTTTAGGAATAAATAAATATATATAGGGAAAGTAAGCAAATAAATGAGATGTGGTACAAGTTTTAGGATACACTTCCTTTTGCCTATGATGTGATATACTATGTCTGCTTTTTCAGAATTCATTACAATCTACCCCAGTAATGCATTTGTAAGGTTAATTTATCCTGCTCTTGCTTCCTTCCTTCCTTTGAAACAAATTGATTTTGAAAAAGAAAACATCTTGAAAACAGAAAATTTGACCAGTTCCAATGTCCAGACATTTTCCATGCAAAAATCAAAAAGCTAACAAGTTGAAAGTAAAAAAAAAAAAACCCAATGCAATCCACAGTCCATAGAATTTATACGAATAAAAACTGGAAGGCTCAGCCAGCTTGCTTTAGCTGAAATCAAGAATCTTTCTACACCTTTAATTAAAATAAAAGTCAATGATCATCAGGCCTATTTCTGTAGCTAGGCAAACCTGGTTCCTACTATGATAAAAATGTTGTAATATAGACGTAAAAGTTACTCTGTTTTCCCCTGAGAAACTGATGCACATCGTTTGTTTCATCTCTTAAAACGCCAATCCTGCAGGTATTGTTGGAAGGAAGCAACTCTCTTTACCTAAACGACCTTCACAGGCTCATCAGCGTTACCACTGCTGTCAGATAATGCAACAGGCGTGCTTGCAGGATCTGGTTCTTTAACCTAGCAGGCCAGGACATATAATCACTACACTCTATGCTGCATCAAGAAAACCATCAGCACCCAAAAGAACCAAAACAAACTTCTCCAGCATTGGCATTCGTAACATACACACAAACACAGCAAAACGGCCCTCCAGTGTAACGAATCACATAGATGATGTGCAATGGAAGGACTGGGATCATTTCAGCCTCAACAGTACTACTGTGGAGTACTACCTAATTCAGTTAAAATCTTTATTTATGGCATGCAGACTATGTAAGCTTATGTGAAACTGATGCTTCATCATCTTAAATTTTGGAGTTTGCCCTCTAGTAACAACTCAATGTTATTGCTCCCGTGAGACATTGTCAACATTAGAAAATTAAATAGGAATATTGTTACCTCGCCTTCTCCCATATGTCCTTGCTGCATGTTAAATGAGAAAGAAAACAGCCTTTCAAACATTGTTATAAGGACCAAAAGACCTTGTTTTATCGCCTTAGTTATACTGACTCAGTGATTCTCAAGCCTTTTAATACTCCAGGTCATTTCAAATGGTGTTCACAAGCTGACCTCCCCCACCGCCCACGAGACCATGCCTTCCTTGCACGGTCTCTGTTACTTACTGATAAAACACATTGATACAAGGCTGACAAATTACATATTTATACTCAAGGAGATTTTCTGAAAACAATTTTAGTTCTTGATTTGCACATTTATTTTCAGATCTATTCTTAATCCTATGCTGAGTGTATGCCTATCAGTAAATGCACCTTTTCTCCTGCACCAGGTCTCCTGAAGCATTCTGCAGTGCACCACGCTCACCACCTTGCCAAGTTCAAGCATAATCTAACGCTAATCTTCAACTGAACTGTAGGAAAAGCCCTAATGCAAGGAAAATGGAAGACTATTGTGTTAATTTCTGTTTTGAAATCAGGTTGCTATAAAAGCTTTGCACAAAATTATTACTGGCAAATAACCACCTGAAAACATAAAGTCAGGGAGAAATCATCTGGGCCACTAAAACTGCCTCCCAGACCTCCTGCAGTCCATGCACAGTGGCACAGATTCTCTCACACTAACTTAGTACACTTCGTTCTAATTATCCGACAGCTACCCACTGCTTCTTACTCTTCATTTTCCAAAGCAAATCTATTCTACCACTAAAAATTACAACATTTTTCTGTGCTGGCTTCCAGGATCCATTGTATGGCCAAGTTTTCTAATCAAACCTGCACATTCTTTCTCTTTTAATCTCATTAAAATCTGTGTTTGAAAGCAGGCCAACTGTTTTCAAAACTCGGTTTCTCCTGGCAAACACTACGAGAAACTCTGAGCACATCATTGCATTTTACTTTGCTTCCTCATTCAAAATTGAGGCTGACAATTAGTTTAAGCATTTCAATATTTGTAAACCACAACAGGAGTCGTTTCCTCTTTAAAAATAAAAATCATATCAATCTAATTTACTTCATGATTATTTAACATCTGTAAGACTATTTTACTTGTCTGATCTTTTGCTGATAGAGATACTTAGAATGAACACCAAGAATACAAAATAACGAAACTCTAGTCTTCAGACTGGAGCATACTCTCAAGCATTCACACAGCTCCTGGTTTTATGAGAGAATCTCAAAGGCTGAGGGCCTTCACAAGTATAATTTTTCCATGATAATTTTGAATTTAGAAATCCAGGATGCTCATATAGTCCTCAAAGTAGAAAGTTTGAAGGAACTTGTCTTTCATGGAAAGCAGTCAGCAATCTCGCTGCATTTCTGACAAAGCTCAGTAGTCTTTGCACATTTTAGAAAATATCAAGCACTTTCAAAAACAGCCCTGCCTATAAAGCCATAAAAATCTTGCTTGTGGTTTCTAAATTACTAACAAAACCACATAAACTCCTTCACTTAGTACACCCATTCTTGGCAACAAAGCATGCAGCACAAATACGACTCTCACTGCGGATCTGTGACCACAATTTAGGTCAGCAGACTCCTCACTGCTTTGCCACCTGTGTCACTCAAAGCAATAGGATTTTTCTCCTTTACCAGTACTGAAAACAACAAAAAAAGCTCAGCCACCAGCTAGGAAGTATTTCCAATGCCAAGTACTACTGAAGAGATTTTGAGAACCAAATACTAAGATTTTTTTTTTTGGTCCTTATTTGCCTCTTATTTTCTGCGTTTGCTTCATCTAATCCACAAAATATCAACATTTGACATTTCAAAACATTTCTCAGGAGCCACAGTTTATAAAGCACCCCAGTGCAGCTCTGATACAAACTTTCTCTGCCCACGGAATTCAGAGCTCATCACACGCCATTAATGTGGCACAATCTTACGCACAACACGAACCGAAGAACAGTCTGTTGGCAGGCCAGGAAGACAGCTAACTGGGATTTACCAGTTCTGTCTCTGGCTTTCAGAATTTCATATGAAGAGAAATCTTTGCTGCAGGAATACCCTAGCTAAGTTGCAACATAAATGAAGCCTTAAGGTAACTGTTAACAATCAGAGAAAAAGATTTAATTCTGAAGATCAGGATGCCTGTCTGTCCCCTGCTGAGAAATGAGACAACCACGACGCCAGTTTGGATTCCTCAAATCTATTTTTCCTTTCCTCATTTCTTTAACATTTCAGATAATTGCATGAAAGGTCTACGACAGATTTACTAATCTTGTAAGATATTTGAGCAAGAATTATGTTACAAAATCTAAAAAATAAAAAGCGTTTATGCAACTGGTTCAACTGCTTATTAATAACCTATGCAAATATTTTTCTCTGATAAAACCAGCCTGAAATTTAAAACACTATTAGCAGCTGCTTCAATTACTTTGTCACCTCAGCCCTCCCTGCAACACTCCTTTCTATGTAAGAAATAAAGCCACACAGAAAGCCAATGATCTTTTGCAAAAATCTGCTACTTTTACTGTCGTTCATTTTAAGGAACTCAATGAATAAGCAACCCACTCAAATTTTTGTGTCTTCTCTTCATTTGAGACAGTTAATGGGCTCCTGGCCATCTCCCGCTCCCTTTTCTTTCTTCTTTTTCTTTTTTTTAAAATTGCATCTTTTGTGTCTAATGTACCTCCAATTAAACATCCTGAGCTTCATCTCTCTAATAGGAAGCACCAAAAAGACTGTCAGCATGTTGTGATAATCACACGTGCCATTCTGTATAAAGTACACAGTTCCCAATGACAAAGATATTCTGCTGAAGCAGCATGAAAAATGCATGCAGGAGCCCTAAACCACTTCAACCCCAAACTTATGACAAGCTCGTCCTGGAAAAAGTGTGCCCAGGCTGAGCACCTGGCACTCTTTAATGGTTCGTGCTGCCTTCCAATCTGCAGGATGGTACCGATTTCAGGTGTATTTTGTGCCATCAACTGTGGAGGATCTACATAAAAAGGTCAGCTCCAGAGCAGGCTGTTTAAAGCAAAGGAACCAGCAAGCAAGATGTATCTCCTGTGAATGTCATCCCAACTTTCTAAGGTCACGTTACAACTAGGAGAATTATACAAGCATCCACAGTTAATATAATTCTAAAATCCTGGAATGGACAGAGCAACTGAATGCTCAAAGTTAAATTACAGTCATACCTTCATTCTCACAATCTTGCTATAGTTGTTTTAAGGCATGTAAAGTCGAGGTTGATGTAATACCTGTCCAGTTCTGTACATAATTTATATCCTTAGCCCAAGAGCTCCTCCAGACAGGGATCCTGTTCTTTACCTTGGCACAGAGGCCAATACAGTAACACACTGCAATCCTTTACATTAGTCACTGTTATGCTCTCATTTCTTTCCTCTCAAAGATCAAACCAGACTAGTTTCACTAGTGAGTTCCAAGGAATTTCAGGTTTCTATGCACATTAGTCACTGAAGTTACTAGGGAAATATTTTTGAAATGTAAAGGGACAAATACTCACGTCAACTTTTTACATAACCTGACCGTGAGAACAAGTAAGACCCAATCACTCCCTTCCACCAGGCATTAGCTCCACCACTGAGACAGCTTCCCACTCCCCAGCTCCAGGAAAGCCAGGAAACTTACATCAATTCATATTCTACACCAATCACACAGGCTCTAGAAAAGATGATTCAAGACGACCAAGATTTTGCTGAAGTGATCCCAATTTCATAAGCTTTCGTGAATGAAGTAATGATTTTAATCACTGATTTTTAGGGACAAAAAGTGACAAGAACTAGCAGTACAAACACGGGAAACAGGCTACAACTCTTGCAGATGAAAGTATTACAGAGCAAAAGGGAAAACAAAGCCTCTATACCATCATCAGCTACTGTTAATATTATATAAATGGAGAAAAGCCTAAGAGTCCAGATTTTTTTCAAAAAGCAGGATAATAAGCTTTTCTCTAAGACTATATTGAAACCTTTCCAAATTATGTGAAAAACTTTCAACTGTAGATGGTCATAGGCAGCCAGTTGCTTATGTTGGAAGGCAAATATGATCAACACATAATTAAGAGTTCCAAGCTTTCACAGAAACTGTTTACTCTGCTAGTCATTCTGTTCCCTAAACGCAACATAGGGAGGTGATTCAGTGCTGGTCTGTCTTCTGTTTCACTTAGGACATAACTTTTACAGAAACAGAAGTATCAAAGTTTCACAAGATTATCTCTAAATGTGAGCTAGATACCCGTGAGTCTATTATAGAAAATATTTATGCTTTCATGAGTTTTATTTTTAAATTCTAGAAAAAGAATTGAAGTACAATCTGGTTTTGCCGTTCCAACAGCAAAGCCTTATTTCTAAATTATTCTACACTAAACTGCGTTTTTTCCAATTGTAGCAAAATCGACAATGCTGTGCACAAGGCCATTAAAATACGAACTATAGTGTTTTATTACCTTTTTTCCCCTACTATGCCCTGAGGGCAGGTAGGGCTGATTGTAACTCAAGAGTTAGATTTTATCATCACTTCATGTTTCACAATGCATTTCATACGCAATGCACGGACCACGTGTTTCTACCACAGGTAACAGCACATTTCACAAGAAGTCCTGTGAGGTCATCTCAAGCCCAGTTTCACTAGTGAAGAATCTAACCATATCCCTAACCACACCAAACGCAGAAAAACTAAAATGATAAAGAATATATTTAATCTGCTTTTGGTTAAATTATCTCTGTATATGAAGGAGCAATTCAGAGACCAAGGCAGGTATTGTCAGAGAGATATATACTTTCTCAAATTAAAACGTAAAAATCATATCTACCTGTATTTATTATACACAAAGGTGTATTTAAAAGAGCTTTACAACTCAAGTCTTAAGATGACATTTTCAATAGGAAAGCATATAGTCTCATAAAGTGTTGCATGGCAGGCAAAAAAGCACTGCTTTTTTATGCATTCCTTGATTTTATAGTACTAAAATATTAAGGACAAAAGGATTAGGCCACAGTT